TGCAATAATGATGATAATAATGATAATCGTGATGATGAGAGTGATGAAGATGACATTAATAAAACGGTAAGAGTAATGATGATAGGAAAATAATGATAATGATAATAATAATAATTATAAAACGATATAATTATGATGGTGATGATGATATGATAATAATGAAAATAATAATGATATAAATAATAACAATAAATATTAATAATGATGGTAATATTGATGATAATGAGAGAGCGAAAGAGAAAGAGAAAGAGAGAGAAACAAAAAGAAAGGAACAAACACATAGAATGAAAGAGAAGAGAGAAGAATAAAAGAAAAACAGAAACATAACAAAAGAAAAAGAAGAATCAAACAGACAAACAGACACACACACAGACCGATAGATAAAGAAAGAGAGAAACACTGCTGCTGTTCTCTCTCTCTCTCTCTCTCTCTCTCTCTTTCTCTCTCTCCTTTCTCCCTTCCTCCCTCCCTCCCTCCTTGCCTTCCTCTTTCTCTCCCTCCCTCTCTATCTCTCTCCCTCTTCCTCTCTCCATCTCTCTCTCTAACCCTTTCTCTCTCTCTATCCCTCTCTCTCCCTCCCTCTCTCCCTCCCTCCCTCCCTCTCTCCCCCCCTCTCTCTCTCTCCCTCTCCCTCCCTCACTCTCTCCCCCCCTCTCTCTCTCTCCCTCTCCCTCCCTCACTCTCTCCCTCCCTCCCTCCCTCTCTCTTCCTCCCTCTCTCTCTTTCCCTCCCTCCCTCCCTCCGTCCCTCTCTCTCTCTCTCCTTTCTCCCTTCCTCCCTCCCTCCCTCCCTCCTTGCCTTCCTCTCTCTCTCCCTCCCTCTCTCTCTCTCTCCCTTTCTCTCTCCCTCCCTCTCTCTCTCTCTCTCTCTCTCTCTCTCTCTCTCTCTCTCTCTCTCTCTCTCTCTCTCTCTCTCTCTCTCTCTCTCTCTCTCTCTCTCTCTCTCTCTCTCTCTCTCAGAAGATGATCACCAGGCTTGCGGTCAAAGCGAGGAGCCAGGTGTAGCGACCGCATTTTTCTCTGTTCTCTGATGGTGCGTAATGTACACCATTTTGTCAACCGCGGCTTATGATGGGGGGGCGGGGGGGAGGGGGAAGGGGGCGAAGGAGGGGAGAGGAGGGTTGGGGGTTGGGGGTAAGAGGAGGGAGGTGAAGAGGAGGGGTAGGGGGTGGGGAGTGGTTGTGGGGGGGAGGGGGTAAAGGGAGGAGGGAGGGGGAAGGGGGAAGGGGGAGGGAAATGGGTTGGCGGTTAGGGGTGGGGGAAGAGGAGGGAGAAGAGGGATAAGTGGAATAGGAGACAAGAGAAGAAGGAGGAAGAGGAAAATGATGAGGAGGAAAAGCAGGAGGAGGAAGAGGAGATGGAGGAGGAGGAATAAAAGGAGGAGGAGCAGGAGGAGAAGGAGAAAGAGGAGGAGGAAGAGGTGGAGGAGGAAGAAGAGAAGGAGGAAGAGTAGGAGGAGATGAAAAATGAGAAGATGAGAAAGAGGGGGAGAAGAGAAGAAGAAGAAGAAGGAGACGAAATGGAGAAGAAAGAGAATGAGAAGGAGGAAGAGAAGGAAAGGAGAAGGAAGAGGCTTAGCCACACACATCTATCTATCTATCTATCTATCTATCTATTTTTTTATCTCTTCATTCTTTCCCTTATTTATTTTATTATTTTTCTTTATATATTTGTTGTTGCATATATTCTTTCATTTTCTCTCTCCATTTGTTTATTTCTCTTCGTGTTCATAGTTACATTTATACGTACGGATAGAGAGAGAGAGAGAAAGAGAGAGAGAGAGAGAGAGAGAGAGAGAGAGAGAGAGAGAGAGAGAGAGAGAGAGAGAGAGAGAGAGAGAGAGAGAGAGAGAGAGAGAGAGAGAGAGAGAGAGAGAGAGAGAGAGAGAGAGAGAGAGAGAGAGAGAGAGAGACAAAGAAAAAAACATTAACTAATAGACACAAAGGAGAGAAATATAAAAAAGAAATGGGAAAATAAAGTGATAAAAATAATAATTATAAACAGACATAAAAAAATAAAAATAAAATTGTAGGAAAAAAGTGACTTCCAGAAAATTCGTTAACGTGTTATTATTAAAAAAGAAAATAAACGATGATTGTAATTAGATTAAATAAATCAAACGGTTGACAAGTTAAATGCAAGAAAAAAACAGCAAATGGAATAGAATTATTTTAATTTTATTTTCTTAGTGCTGTTTGTCTATTTATCTTTGTATTTCATCTAAATATATTCTCTCCTTTTCTTTCGCTGGTTCTGTCTGTTTGTCTTTGTCTCTGTCTCTCTCTCTCTCTCTTTCTTTCTTTCTCTCTCTCTTTCTCTTTTTCTTTCTCTTTCTCTCTCTCCCTCTCTCTCTCTCTTTATCTTTATCTTTCTCTCTCTTTCTCTCTCTCTCTCTCTCTCTTTCTTTCTCTCTCTCTCTCTCTCTCTCTCTCTCTCTCTCTCTTTCTCTCTCTCTCTCTCTCTCTCTCTTTCTCTTTTTCACTTTCTCTCTCTCTTGCTACAAACACACACACAACCTCGCTTAAAAACACACAAATATACACAGACACACGCACACATACACATATGATCCCGCACTCACACACACAGTCCATCCCCCCGCCACACACACACATACACACACAACGCCCCTTCTCCACAAACACACACACACAACCCCCCTCTCCACACAAACACACACACACAACCCCCGTCTCCATATACACACACACAACCCCCCTCTCCACACACACACACACACACACACAACCCTCCTCTCCAAACACACACACACACACACGCGCGTACACACTAACATACACACACACACACGTACACACACACATGTACACACACACTTGAGTCAGACAATACCCAGTAAGATACAATCAATGTAATTCTATTCCCTCGAGATGTTTTCCCAGAAAGAAAGAAAGAAAGAAAGAGAGAAAAAAAAAACACGATTTCCTCAATATTTTGTTGTCTTGTGTTTAAATGTTTGTTTCTCGTTCAAGTAATTATTAGATTATTATCATATATTTTTTTTTCTTTGTTTTAGCTTTCGTTAGTTATTTCAGAGGTAAGGTAGATGGATTTAAGTTTAAATAGGATTAGTTTATGTTAGTTATTTCAGAGATAAGGTAGATGGATCTATGTTTAATTAGGAATAGTTTATATATATGGGTTTATATCTTAATTAGATATGGATCAAATTAAATGTGGGTTTTAATGAGATGTGGGATCATTATCATCCGAATAAATTAGATCTGACGTCATTTTTGTGGGTTTTAATAGATATTATTTAAATTAATGAGTTGTGAGACTACTATTATGCGTCGAATTAGATATGGGTTTATATGAATGGGTTTAATTAGATGAAATTAACTGTGGATTTCATGAGGAAGGGGTTATTATTATCATTATTATCCGCTAAATTACACATTGGATTTAAATCAAAGGGTTTAATGGGGGTTTATATTCAAATCTATTCATCCTTTTTTTATGAACTATTTTGATGAACCACTAATCGGTTTATTGTTCTTCTTCGTTCTCCTTCGTTTTCAAACCTTTCTTTACGAGTCATTTTATCGTTTATTGCGTATTTATCATTCATGCTTCAATTACGGAAATTTATGCTGTTAATTTTAATATATTTAATTTTAATATATTTTCTTTGTTAAAATAATTCTTTCTATTCACTTTTCTTTTGTATAAGAATAATGGGAGAGAGAGGATTAAAAAGGAGAGAAGAGAAGAGGAGAGGAGAGGAGAGAGAGAGGGGGGGAGGAGGAGGAGAAGGAGAGAGAGAGGGGGAGGGGGGAAGGAGGAGGAGGAGGAGGAGGAGGAGGAGGAGTGAGGAGGAGGAGGAGGGAGGAGGAGGAGGAGAGAGAGGGGGAGGGGGGAAGGAGGAAGAAAAGGAGGAGGAAAAGGAGGAGGAGGAGGAGGAGGAGGAGGAGGAGAGAGAGGGGGGGGGGAAGGGGAAAGGAGGAGGAAAAGGAGGAGGAGGAGGAGGAGTAGGAGGAGGAGAGAGAGGGGGAAGGGGAAAGGAGGAGGAAAAGGAGGAGGAGGAGGAGGAGGAGGAGGAGGAGGAGGAGAGAGAGAGAGGGAGGGGGGAAAGAGGAAGAAAAGGAGGAGGAGGAGGAGGAGGAGGAGGAGGAGAGAGAGGGGGGGAGGAGGAGGAGAGGAGGAGGAGGAGGAGGAGGGGGAGGAAGAGGAGGAGGAGGAGGAGGAGAGGAGAGAAGAGAAGAGGAGAGGAGAGGAGAGAAGAGAAGAGGAGAGGAGAGGAGAGGAGAGAGAGGGGGAGGAGGAGGAGAGAGAGGGGGAAGGGGAAGAAAGGAGGAGGAAAAGGAGGAGGAGGAGGAGGCGGAGGAGGAGGAGAGAGGGGGGAAGGGGAAAGGAGGAGGAAAAGGAGGAGGAGAGGAGGAGGAAGGAGGAGGAGGAGGCGGAGGAGGAGGAGAGAGAGAGGGGGAGGGGGGGAGAAAGAGGAAGAAAAGGAGGAGGAGGAGGAGGAGGCGGAGGAGGAGAGAGAGGGGGAAGAGGAGGAGAAGGAGAGAGAGAGGGGGAGGGGGGAAGGAGGAGGAGAGAGGGGGAGGGGGGAAGGAGGAGGAAAAGGAGGAGGAGGAAAAGGAGGAGGAACGAAGAGGAGGAGGAGGAGAAGAGAAAGAAGAAAAAGAACAAGAAGAAAAAGAAAGATAGAGAAAGAGAGAGAGTGGGAGATTGGGAAGGAAATAACAATGATGATAATAATGATAATAATGATAATGATAGTAATAATGATAATGATAGTAATAATGATAATGATAATAATGATAATAATGATAATAATTAAAATAATGACAATAATGATAATGATGACAAAAATGATATAATTTCAATGTTGACGGCGATGATGATGATAATTACACCAACAGCAGACAAGAACAACTAATAGTAATAATAATAAAACTAACATAAAAATAACACCAAAACACCATCACCATCACCACCATCACCACCACCATCACCACCACCACAAAAACCCACCTGTATAACCCGCATTGGCAACCCCGTCTCCTTGGCCAGCTGTTCCCGGATGTGCCTCGTTGGCTTGGGTGTCGATGCAAAGGCGTTCTTGAGGATCTCCAGTTGCTTGGCTTTGATGGTCGTGCGAGGACCTCGGCGCTTGTTTCCGGCCTGGGGGGTGAGGGGGGAAGGGGAGGGTAGGGGGAGGTTGGGGAAGGGAAGGTAGGGGAAGGTTGGGGAAGGGATGGAGGGGTGGGTGTGTGTTGGGGGGAAGGGAAGGTAGGGGAAGGTTGGGGAAGGGATGGAGGGGTGGGTGTGTGTTGGAGGGAAGGAGGGAATGGGGGGGAAGGATGAGGTAGTAGGGTGTGTGTGGGGAGGGAGGGAGGGTGTGTGTGGGGGGGAGGGAGGGAGGGTGTGTGTGGGGAGGGAGGGAGGGTGTGTGTGGGGAGGGAGGGAGGGTGTGTGTGGGGAGGGAGGGAGGGTGTGTGTGGGGAGGGAGGGAGGGTGTGTGTGGGGAGGGAGGGAGGGTGTGTGTGGGGGGGAGGGAGGGAGGGAAGGAAGAGGAGGAGGAGAAGAGAAAGAAGAAAAGGTTGGTTAGATTTCGATTTGATTTTTTATTGTTATATTAAAAAAAAAAAGATGGGGGGGCGGGAGGAAAAAAGGTTGGTGGGTTAAATTTAATCATTATTTAGTTATCATATGTTTAGTTTTTTTTTTTTTGTTTTTTTTTTTTTAAGATTTAAGGAGGAAGGAGAACAAGAGAGATTAGATTGTGTTTATTATTTTTTTTATGGGATCATGAGGGAACTTTGGGAATAGAGGAAGAGGGAAAAGATGGGTGAAAAAGGAGGAGGGAGAAGAGAGGGAAGTAGGAGAGGGAGAGGGGGAAGAAACAAGAGAGAGGAAAAGGGTAAGGGTGAAGTAGTTGAAGTAGTAGAAAGAGGAGGAGGAGAGAGAGAGGGGGAGGGGGAAAGAGGAAGAAAAGGAGGAGGAGGAGGAGGAGGAGGAGGAGGAGAGAGAGGGGGGGAAGGAGGGAAGGAGAAGAAGAAGGAGAAGGAGGAGGAGGAGGAGAGAGGAGGAGGAGGGGGAAGGAGGATGGAGGAGGAGGAGGAGGAGGAGGAGGAGGGAGGGAAGGAAGAGGAGGAGGAGGAGAAGAAAAGAAGAAGAACAAGAAGAAAAGAAAGATAGAGAAAGAGAGAGAGTGGGAGATGGGGAAGGAAATAACAATGATGATAATAATGATAATAATGATAATGATAGTAATAATGCTAGCAATAATAATAATGATAACAATAATAATAATAAATAATAATGATAATGATGACAAAAATTATATAATTTCAATGTTGACGGCGATGATGATGATAATTACACCAACAGCAACAAGAACAACAACTAATGATAATAATAAAAATAGCAATACTAACAATAATAATAACACCAAAACACCATCACCAGCACCATCACCACCATCACCACCACCATCACCACCACCACCACAAAAACCCACCTGTATAACCCGCATTGGCAACCCCGTCTCCTTGGCCAGCTGTTCCCGGATGTGCCTCGTTGGCTTGGGTGTCGATGCAAAGGCGTTCTTGAGGATCTCCAGTTGCTTGGCTTTTGATGGTCGTGCGAGGACCTCGGCGCTTGTTTCCGGCCTGGGGGGTGAGGGGGGAAGGGGAAGGGTAGGGGGAGGTTGGGGAAGGGATGGAGGGGTGGGTGTGTGTTGGGGGGAAGGGTAAGGGTAAGGGTAGGGGAGGTTGGGGAAGGGAAGGGTTAGGAGAAGGATGGAGGGGTGGGTGTGTGTTGGGGGTAAGGAGGGAATGGGGGGGGGAAGGGATGAGGTAGTAGGGGTGTGTGTGGGGGAGGGAGGGAGGGTGTGTGTGGGGGGGAGGGAGGGAGGGAGGGGTGTAGGAGGGAGGGAAGGGGTTAGGGGGAAAGGGAGGAGGTGGTTGGGGTTGTGTGTGGGGGAGGGAGGGAGGAGGTGTGTGAGGGAAGCAGGGGATAGGTGTATGTATGTGGGGGGGGGGGGGGAGGGAGGAAGAAGAAGAAGAAGAAAAGGTTGGTTAGATTTCGATTTGATTTTTTTATTGTTTATTGTTAAAAAAAGTGGGGGGGGAGGAGGAAAAAGGGTTGGTGGGATAAATTAAATTCATTATTTAGTTACACATATATTTAGTTTTTTTTATTTTAGATTTAAGGAGGAAGGAGAACGAGAGAGATTAGATTGTGTTTATTATTTTTTTTTATGGGATCATGAGGGAATTTTGGGAATAGAGGAAGAGGGAAAAGATAGGTGAAAAAGGAGGAGGGAGAAGAGAGGGAAGTAGGAGAGGGAGAGGGGAAAGAAACAAGAGAGAGGAAAAGGGTAAGGGTAAAGTAGTAAGAAAGAGGGAGAGAGAGAGAGAGAGATGAGAGAGAGAGAGAGGAGAGAGAGAGAGAGAAGAGAGAGAGGAGAGAGAGAGAGAGAGAGGAGAGAGAGAGAGAGAGAGAGAGAGAGAGAGAGAGAGGAGAGAGAGAGAGAGATGAGAGAGAGAGAGAGAGAGAAATAAACACAGAGAGAGAGAGCACAAGATAAAATAGACAAACAGAGAAACAGACAGACAAGAGAAAAGAGAGATAAATAACCTAAACACAAAGTTATTTAAGAAGATCAGAGACAACATCAATCGAACTGATAATAACTATTTCTAACACACACATCTATCTATCTATCTATCTACATATACATCTGTCTATCTGTTTATCTTTCTATCTATCCGTCTATATATTCATTTATTTATCTATCTATATCTATCATCTAACATCTCTCTCTCTTCCTCTCTCTCTCTCTCTCTCTCCTCTCTCTCTCTTTCTCTCCTTATCTTCCTACCCCTTCTCATTTTCCCTCTCCCTCTCCACTCCTTCTCCCTCCTCCCTCCTTCTTCCTCCCTCCCTCCCTCCCTCCCTCCCTCCCTCACTTACTCACTCACTCTTTCTCTCTCCTCTCTCTCTCTCTCTCTCTCTCTCTCTCTCTCTCTCTCTCTCTCTCTCTTCTCTCCTCTCTCTCTCTTTCTCTCCTCTCTCTCTCTCTTTCTCTCCTCTCTCTCTCTTCTCTCTCTTCTCTCTCTCTCTCTTCTCTCTCTCTCTCTCTCTCTCTCTCCTCTCTCTCTCTCTCTCTCTGTGGAAATACGATAACTTTTCTGGCATCAAGTTCTCTCTCTTGATTTCCCGACTGGTGCCACTTGTCTGAAGGGGGGGGGGGGGTAGAGGGAGGGATATGAGAGGGTGAGGGGGGGGGTAGAGGAGGGATATGAGAGGGTGAAGGGGGGGGGTGGCGAATGGGGGGGAAGGAAAGAGATGGGGGAAAGGAGAAGTGAGAGAGAGCGATATATATATATATAATATATATATATATATATATATATATATATAATATATATATATATATAGAGAGAGAGAGAGAGAGAGAGAGAGGGAGGGGGGAAAGAGGAAGAAAAGGAGGAGGAGGAGGAGGAGGAGAGGAGGAGGAGAGAGAGGGGAAGAGGAGGAGGAGGAGGAGGTGGAGGAGGAGGAGGAGGAGAGAGAGGGGAGGGGGGGGAAGGAGATGGAAGAGGTGGAAGAGGAGTAGGAGGAGGAGGAACGAAGAGGAGGAGGAGGAGAAGAGAAAGAAGAAAAAAGAACAAGAAGAAAAGAAAGATGAGAAACGAGAGAGAGTGGGAGATTGGGAAGGAAATAACAATGATGATAATAATGATAATAATGATAATGATAGTAATAATGATAATGATAATAATGATAACAATAATAATAATAAATAATAATGATAATGATGACAAAAATGATATAATTTCAATGTTGACGGCGATGATGTTGATCATTACACCAACAGCACAAGAACAACAACTAATAGTAATAATAAAATATCAATAATAACAATAATAATAACACCAAAACACCATCACCAGCACCATCACCCACCATCACCACCACCTCACACCCACCACCACACAAAAAACCAACCTGTATAAACCGCCATTGGCAAACCCCGTCTCCTTGGCCAGCTGTTCCCGGATGTGCCTCGTTGCTGGGTGTCGATGGCAAAGGCGTTCTTGAGGATCTCCAGTGCTTGGCTTTGATGGTCGTGCGAGGACCTCGGCGCTTGTTTCCCTCCGGCCTGGGGGGTGAGGGGGGAAAGGGAAGGTAGGGGAAGGTTGGGGAAGGGATGGAGGGGTGGGTGTGTGTTGGAGGAAAGGGTAGGGGAAGGTTGGGGAAGGGAAGGTAGGGGAAGGTTGGGGAAGGGATGGAGGGGTGGGTGTGTGTTGGAGGGAAGGAGGGAATGGGGGGGAAGGATGAGGTAGTAGGGTGTGTGTGGGGAGGGAGGGAGGGTGTGTGTGGGGGGGAGGGAGGGAGGGTGGGGTGTAGGAGGGAGGGAAGGGGTTAGGGGGAAAGGGAGGAGGTGGTTGGGGTTGTGTGTGGGGAGGGAGGGAGGTGTGTGAGGGAAGCAGGGGATAGGGGTATGTGTGGGGGGGAGAGGGAGGGAGGGAAGGAAGAGGAGGAGGAGAAGAGAAAGAAGAAAAGGTTGGTTAGATTTCGATTTGATTTTTTTATTGTTTATTATTAAAAAAAAGTGGGGGGGGGGGAGGAAAAGGGTTGGTGGGTTAAATTTAATCATTAATTTAGTAGACATATGTTTAGTTTTTTTTTGTTTTTTTTTTAAGATTTAAGGAGGAAGGAGAACAAGAGAGATTAGATTGTGTTTATTATTTTTTTTATGGGATCATGAGGGAACTTTGGGAATAGAGGAAGAGGGAAAAGAGGGTGAAAAAGGAGGAGGAGAAGAGAGGGAAGTAGGAGAGGGAGAGGGGGAAGAAACAAGAGAGAGGAAAAGGGTAAGGGGAAAGTAGTAAGAAAGAGGAGGAGAGAGAGGAGAGAGAGAGAGAGGAGAGAGAGAGAGAGAGAGAGAGAAGAGAGAGAGAGAGAGGAGAGAGAGAGAGAAGAGAGAGAGAGAGAGAAGAGAGAGAGAGAGAGAGAGAGAG